CACCCATTCATGTAGAATATTATTTTGTGGAGTTAGGGATATTAATAGTAGTTTACCTATATTTGAATAGTATCCTGGGATTAGGTTTGGGAAGTCCGGGGGGTGGGTGGGTGGGGGGTGGGGTTTTCTTTATAGCATTGTGAAATATGTGTGATTTTTTTTTTATGATGAAAACAATAAAAACTATATTTGAAAAAAAAAAAAAAAAGAATTACATACTGCAATAATCCCTAAAGTAATTACACTGGTTGGGTTCCTACAACGCTAAGCCAAAACCTAGCAAGTCACATTTTATTGTAAGTGCCAACCCAACCAACCAAACAAGAACTTATTCACAGCTTGTCATTTCAAGTGATTTTCTCATCCACCATTTGCAAATTCTTTTGTTAAATGCTATGATTTCCATCCAAACTTGCTTTCAAGAAAACCGATATAAATTTCTCTGAAAGTTACCGAGATAGGTAATTTTGTGCCCTTCAGCTCAAATTAATTCAGCCAATTACAAAGGACTGTGGAAATCGTAGTCAAAAATGCCTGGAGAATACCAAGCAGCCCATTCCAACAATAATCAGGGTAGCCCTCAAAAGTGCTGCTTAACTTCGCTTGGCTAGGGAGGCTGCCTTTAAATACATACAGTCCTCAATATATGACCACAATTGAATCCAAAATTTCTGTTGTTAACTGAGACATTTGTTAAGTGAATTTCGCTTCTTTTTATGACCTTTCTTACCACCGTTAAGTGAATCACAGCAGTTGTTAAGTTAGGGACACTATTATTAAGTGAATCTGGCTTCCCCATTGATTTTGTCAGAAAGTCACAAAAGGGGATTACATGACCCCAGGACACTGCAAATTATAAATATGAGTCAGTTGCAGAGTTTGAATTTTGATCACATGGCCATGAGGATGCTGCAATGGTTGTAAGTCTGAAAAGTGGTCCTAAGTCCCTTTTTTTCAGTGCCATTGTGACTTTGAACAGTCATTAAATGAACTGCTGTAAGTTGAGAACTACCTGTATATTATTTTACAGCTCGGCCAGACTCTTTTAAACACGAGTAATCTCTTTCAGGGGCAGCTGTCGCAGGGGAAAACGCTATGCCAGGTAATATCCTTTAATTAGGGCTCATATGCAGTTCGTCTAGCGAAGAATGCCGCAGGGGAACGATTCCCAGTTTGACTCGAACAAAGATAGCACAAAGAGCTGGATCCGCTCTGACGTTCTGTACGGCCAGCTGAGCCACAGCCTGACTTTTCAGCATTCCCAGAAGGAGAAGATCTGCGCGCAGCTGCTTCTCCTACCTGAGCAGCGCGAAGACGCGCCCCTCTAGCCCTGCCCTGTCCTGTCCTGCCAAATTGCTCAACTGCTTGGACCCTGCCGCTTGCCGTCTTCTCCTTCTCCCTCTCTCTCTTTCTCTCTCTGGCTGAGAGTAACAGGAAGCGCTGCCGGCGCCTCCGAACCTGCTGGCAGGGCGAGCCATGGAGTTCTCGGAGGAGAAGTTGCGGAAGTGGCTGAGCAAGGCAAGCGGCGAGACTGGGCGGAGGAGTTTTAGAAGCGCGAGCCAGTGGAAGCTCTGGGTTCGGCGCCCCCAATTTTGGAACGCCTTCCCTGGCTTGAAGGGAGAGGGGAGCGACTACCTGAATCCACGATTAAATCAATGTTTTTCAAACTTGGCAGCTTTAAGAGGTGCGGACTTCAACTCCCAGAATTCCTCAGCTAACATGGCTGGTTGGGGAATTTCGGGATTTGAAGTCCACACATTGTAAAGTTGCCCAGTTTGAAAAACATTGCATTCGATCGGGCTTCCCTTGCCCTCTCCCGCTTGGTCGATTTCTTCCCGTTTGTTGGCGCATAAGCTACTGGATCTGATCTTTCCTGTTCAGCCACTGTGAACGGTGCATGCTTTTGCGCGGTTTCCTCAACCCTGCAGCATTAGGGGTTTTTCCCCCCCCCTTTCGGCTTCAAACCTTGGCTATTTCCTCCTTAATAATTTATGCCATCGAATCCCATCACTTTTCTTTTCTTCTGGGAATAGAAAGCGTACATTCATCATTATTATGCTAGGACAGGCACGTTTGATGTACTGTCTCTTTTCTATTAAGCTGAATTAATTAGTAATTAATGAGAAAATAGTCTGTAATTCTATTGAATAAATCACAAAGGGGTGTGTATTCATGCTCTTCTTCATGGTCCCCAAATCGTAGTATGAACATATCACAGAAACAGCCTTTTTCTGCTCTGTCCTCATGGGGGTTATCTTTCTCTTAATCATAGCCTGCAGCTAAGATACCTGAAAGTCCCTAGCTGTTTCTTTTTTTAAAAAAATAGAGTATTTGCTCTTCTTAGAACTCCTTCCAAGATGGATCAGGGACATTGCTTGAGCATTATTATCTCCCATTTCATCCTGTGCCCTTTCTCCATGCCCATGCACTCTCTGTTTTGATACCTGTGTAACAGTCAGTCAGGAGAATGAGCCTCTATTCACAAATACTGACTAACTGAAATATTGAGCTGAGTAAGGGCATGTCACTGCACATTCACAAGCTCTAAGAGGCAACTGGCCAGATGACTAAATTCACTGTTGTAAGCCCCAACCTCATTTACCTGACTCTCCCCATCTTGTGTTAAGGAGAATGGATGGTAGTTGATCCCCTACTTGCAAGAGGGAGGGGAAACACATCTGTGGGAATCCATCAATCCTTTCCCTTAATTTGGCCTGCAGCATGTAAAGGCAATACTCTTCACCAGCTTTGTTACTATTGCTGAGTAAGGATAGAGAACAGGACAGTTTATGCTGACATACTGTTCTGCCAGCTCAGAGACTGGTGGATTGGATAGCATTCGAAGTGTTCTAAGCCCAGACCATAAACACTCCTTTATGGTTTAGGATAATGTTTCTTATATAATACAAACTATGAAAAGTGTATCTTCTACTGCTTACTGCTGCTTGTGACGTCTACAGTCAGAGCATGATTTGGTCTGCTTATAATGTTGAAACAAACATGCCACAGGGCTGTGTACTGTATGTCGTCATAAGAGTCTTACACAAAATAAGCTCCTGCAAGAACTAGCTACAGCATTGACTTTCTCCCTATCTCAATGTGGTCAAGTGTATTGTGACCCTTCCCCATCTCACCTGGAGTCTCCCAATCCACTTAAGTCTGCAATCCTCCTAAATTCTGTTAAAATGTTTTAATCACACAGAGATCCTGATTTTATTATCAAATCACCCTTTCATGTCCTCTTTCCCACATTCCCTGGGAATTTTGCTCAATGAAGAATTCCAGATATGTGTGTTCACGGTCTTGTGCAATCTGAGTTGCTGTTTAAACATTTTTCTTTCACATGGCTCTGTAGTTCATGTTTAAGATGATTGAAATTGTCTTTCTTATGTCTCCAGTATAAATTCCGAGATCTTACCATAGAAGAACTGAAGCACATAAATGAGCTGTGTCCCAACATCAGGTTCACAATGAGCACCTACAGTAAGAATTCCTGTCCGGGGATAGATACATTAACTTGCATTTTTCAAAAATTGGGGGATCTTATAAATCAAGTGAATAAATAAAAAGTGAAATAAATGCTGAATATTAATATACTATAGGTGGCTATTATTTAACCACCTAAAGTATGTTCTGCATTAATAATATAATAGTATAACATGCATATTAATAGTATGTATTAGGATTTACACCCATTGTTTCCTTTGAATTATTTGGGCAGTATGCATGGGATTGCAATCTTACTGTATAATTTTCTTAATTTTTCAGCAGTTAATTGATCACTTTTATTATTATAACTTTTACAGCAATGGCATGGTAAAGCACATTGTATATTTATATGTTGCTATTTTTTAATATTAGCATTCCTGTAGTTTTTGACTAGATTTTCTATAGCATTATGTTGCCTTAGGCTTAGAAAATCTATGTTTTGCTGAATTTACTTTTTATGTCCTATTGTGATGCTTTGAAATTCTATGTAATTTCTATTTGTGTGTATGTGTATATAATGTTTTGATTTATTTATTTATATCCTGCCTTTATAATTTTTACAAATAACTCAGGGTGGCAAACATATCTAACACACTTTCATCCTCCTGTTTCCCCCACAACAACAATCCTGACAGGTGAGTTGGCCTAAGAGAGAGAGAGAGCGACTGATCCAAAGTCACCCAGCTGGCTTCCATGGCCAAGGCAGGATTTGAACTCATGGTCTCCTGCTTTCTAGCCCAGTGCCTTAATACACACAGACACACATTTTAAAAATAATAATAAAATGAATGACTGCTTTAACTAATTTGAAATGTTAGAAACAATACATATCAGTACTAAATTAAGAGAAATTTAAAAGGAAAGATTAAATCCCTGGTGATATAATGTTTTGAATTTCAGCTTTTAAAGATGGATCCCAGAAAGATCTTCTGAACTTTACTAATATTGTTCCAGTAAAATATCAGGGTGAGTTCAAAGAATGTTTCCTTTATATTTCTTGGTATTTGAATATTTCATTCTGAGTAATATATTATGAAATGTATTTGTATACAAAATTTATATGTTGCTTAAATCACAGGCTATAAACAGCTTACCACTAGTATAATAAGCAGATAATAAAATAAAGCGACTTTAGTAGCATAATCTGAAGCAAAGAGTCTGGATCAGTATGGTAAGAAATACTTTGCAACCCCTCCCATCCCAATCTACTTATTTATGTGGATGGCTCTGATAAAATAAAAAGCAGGAATTTATAGTACAGCAGCCTGAAGTAAGAAACAAAAAGCCACATTGTCTGAGTTAGACAACTCAGCGACAGAATAATTAGATAGTGCTAAGTGACAGAATAAGTAAACTGAATGCTGAAGTTTCTTAGCAAGAAAGTTTATGCTATAATGGTGAAAATTATGCAGCAAAAAAACAAGAAGAAAATCCACAGCTGGCTAAGCATGAAGCTGAAGCTGCAACAGTGAAAATAGGTGGAGATAAAGCTCCATGAAGGTCAGGAGGAGATTCAGCAGCAGTTAAAATAACAGACTTGGCACAATGCTGTAGAACAGGGGTAGTCAACTTTGACTCTTTTATGACTCGTGGACTTCAATTCCCAGAATTCCTGAGCCAGCTTAGCTGGCTCAGGAATTCTGGGAGTTGAGGTCCACGAGTCATAAAAGAGCCAAGGTTGACTACCCCTGCTGTAGAAGCAGGCCTTTGAAGAGGTTTGTGGATGGACTTGCGCCAGAGAAAATCCATGGATGGAATCTCAAAAAAACAATCCTTGGCTGTAATTAGTGCAGCAGCTATTCCAAAGGTCTAGCAACAGACTTGAGAGGAGATCATAGAGCTAAGAAAGGAAAGAGCTATCAAAAAGGTCTATCAGAGGAGACCTACTGAAGAAGCTACAGTGGTGATGCTCCACCAAAGAAGTCCAGCAGGAGAGAGCTGCCAGATGTTATAGAGGCTGAAGCTTTCTGGAAGAGGGCAGGGTGTGATAAGAAGAACCTCAAGGGAGAGTTCACACTACAGAAGGTCCTCTTAGTTAAATAGCCTGAGTAGCCAGTTCAATGAGAAACCCTAGTGCAGTGGTTCTCAACCTTTTTAATGCCGCGACCCCAACCGGTCGTAAGTCGAGGACTAAACCGGTCGTAAGTCGAGGACTAAACCAGTCGTAAGTCGAGGACTACCCAACCGGTCGTAAGTCAAGGACTTTCCCTGCCCGGGAGCGCCGCGCATGCGTGGTTCCGCCCCCTGCGCCGGCTGAGGCGTAGCTGGCAAGCGGCAGAGACGGAGCAGGCTGACCACCAGCTGGCCCAGCCCAAGGGAGGTAAGGCACCTGCCAGAAAAGGGCGGACAAAAAAAATGGCGGACAGCCTTGCTTGGCGACCCCCGTGAAATGGTCGATCGACCCCAAATGGGGTCCCAACCCACAGGTTGAGAACCACTGCCCTAGTGGTTCACAGAGGAACTATAAGGACCCCCACATCAATCCAGGCTGGAGGGGACAACAGCATACACCCTGCCCCTTGGAATGCAGCCTGGGGAAGGAAGTTTATTCCCACCCCAAATCAAACTACCCTACTCATGGGATCTCCCTGGGCTTGTTATCATCTTAAACTGAATTTACAACAAATATCACCCAGTAATTATCAAGTCGGCAAATCAGTTTTCAGTATCAAAAGTTAAAAATTTAACACATGTCCAATAGTAAATACTCACTGGATAACAAATCTACAACTCATATNAGGAAGTTTATTCCCACCCCAAATCAAACTACCCTACTCATGGGATCTCCCTGGGCTTGTTATCATCTTAAACTGAATTTACAACAAATATCACCCAGTAATTATCAAGTCGGCAAATCAGTTTTCAGTATCAAAAGTTAAAAATTTAACACATGTCCAATAGTAAATACTCACTGGATAACAAATCTACAACTCATATATAACATGTGCTGCACTGTCTCTTCAGAAGAGTAGAGTTTTAACTCTCTTCCTGGAAAAATCAAAAGGAGTTAAGGAGCAACTTTAACTTGGGGAAGGGGGACGGCAAAGCATTTCAAAGGATGGGCACTGATTTTCCATCCATGTCATGAAGGGTTGTGGACTCTTTCGCTCTGCTAGTTGAAACGAGAACCATAATATACATGGAATCTTTGCTAAACACATTTTTATTTTGTATTTTGATAGGTAACACTTATAATATTCCAATTTGCATATGGATTTTGGATTCTTATCCTTTTACTCCACCCATTTGTTTTCTAAAACCTACTTCTAACATGGGAATTTCTGTAGGAAAACATGTGGATGTCCGCGGAAGGATTTACTTGCCATATCTACAAGCCTGGAGCCATGTAAGAATTAGATAAATGCATTACATAAAGTTATTAAAGTTATTATTACAATTTATATAAAGGTAATATACCTTACCTTTGTACCTCTTAGTAGCATCTATCATTTTCCACATATAATTATATACATAAATATTTGCAATATAAGATAAAATACAATTGATCTGAATACAAAATAATTATCTTTATACACTTAGAATGGATGGTAGTATTAGGTTTTCAGGTTCCTTATCAACAAAGTCAAGTCAACCAATCTTACTTAGGAGTGGATGAAGATTTCATCCCCAAAGCATGTCTTTTTTTTTTATCCACCCATCCATTCTTTTTTTATTTGATTTTTATTTTACTACCATTTAACCAACTGTCAGCAGGTTACAAATACAACAAAATAAAAATACAGAAATACAGAAAAGGACTAAAACTCATAAAACATACAATACGAAAGTGGTGTCACAACTCAGATGCCTCTGGAAGAACGTGGTGTCCAGCAGCTTCCAAAAAGTGAAGAAGACAGGAGTAGATCTAAAAGTGCTGAAGAAGCTTCTTGGATAAGAAGCAAAACATCTTCAAAAGAAAAACAAGAAAATCCAAATATCTAAATTTAGTTTAGATATCTAAAGGGCTATCTTAAAACTTTACTAGAAAGTGTTTGTAAATGGTATATCTGTTATATAAATAAATTCTAATTTGTCCTGTATTTATTACAGCCACAGTCAGAAATTATAGGGTTGTTAAAGGAAATGAGCATAAAATTTGAAGAAGAACTTCCCTTATATGCATTATCATCTTCTGATGAAGTCAGACAGATGGACCTACTTTCTTATATAACCAAAATTGTTGAAGGTATTCATCTTTCCTGGAAACTTCTTATCTGGAATTCATGTGCATAATTCATAATATCTTGGTAATTTTGTTTTGTATTTTCCTGGAAGAGTCCAAATCAGTAAGTTATTACATTATAGCAGCAAAGGATCACTTTGCCCTAAAAGATCATAACTATTAATATTATGTGATTTTTAGTGATATTTATATATATCTTAGCTATATTTATATGCAGCCCAAAACCATTCTTTTTCACTCAAGGCAGCCCAGGCAAGCCAAAAGGTTGGACATGCCAGATCTAGAACAAATTTGGCACAGTGGAAAGCCTTTCTTTTATTAGACTTTGGTCCTTTTAGTGTGAACTGGAAATAGTTAATCAAGGAATCCAAGGACTCTGAGTTACTACTGGTATATTTATTAGAAGGAAATGTTAAGATACACAAGAAATCCAGCAAATACTTTCAAATGAGATACCTATGTATAGGCAATCTTTTGAAAGTGTGGCAATCTGTATTTTTTCATTGTTATGGTAATTCCTATTTCTTTATCTCCGTGAAAAATATCTCAAAGGCTTCTTGGTCCAACTTCTTCTCTCCATTATCAAGCTACTACTGAGCCAGCACTTATGAATGCACTGTCCAGTGTCAGGCAGGAAAAGGACATTTAGAGAGTTGGTGGATGGCATGTAGGATGGTTGGTGTTCTCTGTAAGGTATTTTAAAGGCAATGTGAATGTAATCACATAAATAGGATGATGGACACTGAGCTTGCTGGAACAACCACGTCTTGAGGGCGCGGCGGAAGGAAGGGAGATCAGGAATCACCCTGATCTCTGGGGGCAGTTCGTTCCAGAGGGTGGGAGCTCCCACAGAGAAGGCCCTCCCCCTTGGGGTCGCCAGCCGGCACTGTCTGGCCGACGGTACCCTGAGGAGACCCACTCTGTGAGAGCGTACAGGTCGGTGGG